CCCAGAAGTGACCTGTGCGTTGGCTGTGCGTTGGATGTGCGCTGGCTGTGCGTTGAACGCGCGGTGCATGCGCGGACCATTCGTTCCGTGCGCTAACAATAGTAACATGTGCGCCCTGTATACGCTCTGTATGCGCCCTGTATGCGCGCAGCGCGCTAGCAACACGCTGTGCATTCGTTGTCAACTCGCTAGCTTCTCCCAAATCCTGACAAAAGTTGGGCGCACAACGACACACTGATCTATTTTCCATTTTTTGATTAATTTTCAGTGCGCGGGCCGTGCGTCGTGTATGTGTGACTGGGGCATTAACAATTATCTAACCACGAGAGTCCATGATTATTTATTACATTCATACTTTCATAGAACCTTCATTTCCCACGAGCGTGGCAGCTACTACTATAAACGTGATATTTGCATTTGTACTTCATTTACCTTGAAGTCTTTGAACTTCTGAAGTAAGTGATGACCATACAACTTCTCCTTTTTTAGGAAGGCTACGAATTTCTCCGTCAAATCGAAAATCTCCTGCTCCGATAATCTGTCATTCCAACTGGATGAGAAATTCTCTTCCCAAGCTTCCTGAATCTGCAGCAATGTGTGAATGGGTGATGAAACGGCGCTACGACAAAAGGTCCTAAGTCCTGCATGCTCTCATATATCTGGCAAAAACTGTAATAAATCTACGCAATTCAAATTTTTTTTACCTGTGGCAACAACATGCTGTTGTAACGTTCAACAATTTGGGTGAATTTGAGATCTTTCCTGTCATCTAGGGTCCTGAGATTGGGTAGCAGCGAGGCAGCAATGTAGCAGTCAGAAAACTGTCCAAGGCAGTAACAACATGCATTTGCTTTATCACACTCTAGATATTCATAGTATAGGTACGTACTCCACCATAGCGATACCGAATGAAATCATAACTGAATAGAAATTCACTACGGCAAATATGACGCTCACTATACATACATCTAGTGGGTTACCAGCCACAATGAGTTCTTCGAGATTCGGAAATGCTTCCAGAAAAGTCACGTCTGCAATGCTGTTGTCGCTGATGTTGAGTCGTTTCAAGCAGTCGAGTTTGACGCTGGGAAACGAAGAGAGACCGTTGCCCGAGACATCCAACTCTTGGAGCGATGTAAGCTTCTGCAGGACCGATCCATCGATTTCTGTGATCCCTTCCTGTTTTATGCTAGAGCGGGAAAAGCATGGTTTAATGATTTATTTTATTTCCTGTGATAACTTTTGTGGAGTTTTTGAACCATTTCACATCTTTACTACATATAATGGAGTGTAGCGGGTCGCACCCACTACAGAAAGTGTCACACGGGTAAATCCTAAATACACATTCCTTCCAACATAACAAATGTGACATTAATAAATGTGACATAACGCATGTGCTTATTTTTAAGATTCATGGGGTTGCACGTCTGTCAAATTTTCTTTGAATATTAGCTGACAAAATACGGTATTTTCACGAGGCCGTGCTCTGGAACGAACTAGGTAGTATGGCAGAATTTTCAGGGAGTCTCTTAGACAATTTAAAAAAAGTAGTGCTATATAATAATCAGCAGGTGATTCAGGAATCTCTATCGACATTGCCAACAAATCATGGTTTTCGGTCGAGGCAAGCAAGCGACAGAGTGGTACCCTCCGCGTGCCAGCGCAGCAGCAGCAGCGAGGCCCACGCACAGGGGCGTAAATCCCGGGGGGGGATGGGGGATGCATCCCCCCCCGCTCTTGAAGGAGGGGGGGATGGCCTGTACAAATATCCCCCCCTGATATTCAAAAAAAAAGATAAAAAAAAAGAATAGCCAAAAAGTATGGTTGCAAACATACAAAAAACATGTGAAATTGTGAGAAATTGCAATTCTTACCTGTGTACCATGTATACATGTATTATTACTATAGTAACCTAACTGTGTACGCTCTCTGAAAAGTCATGAAAAGTGTTTTGAATCCTAACTTGTAGGATTGAGTCTAGGGTTGAGATAGTGCCATCAGACATGAGAATATGGCCCACAGTATGCCTCAGATTGCATAAAGAAAATGGCTTAAATATTTCAAAATTTTCTGGGGGGCATGTCCCCAGACCCCCCTAGCACTGCAGCACAGCTCGCACCGCCGCGTACTGATGTTGATCAGGCGATGACCCGTCGGTCGGTCGGTTGGTCGGTCATGATGAATTCCCTAATCTTGAGGCTACTCAGGTAGTAGGAGCATGTGGAAAGCCAGTTCCTGTATGTACCACCCCAGCAGACCAGAGACTGATGTCTACAACAACTTCGCTGATCGCCTGAATAGCAGTCGACTGTACATTCGATCATAAAGGCTTCATGATTTTCTCAATTAATTCCTTGTCCAGCTTCCATTTTAATAAGAAGCTGTGACAGTTGAGTTGCATTCGTTGGGATTCCACACTGCTCCAGTTCACATGTGTGCGGTGTGCTCGTGTGTTCACAGAGCCAAACTGCTCTTACATGTGGGTCTCAAGGTTCGAGATGTACTTTCTGCTTACATCTGTACGACATCTCCATAGAGTTATTATGCGTTATCATGTGTGATTATGGGGTCCTCAGAGCGAAAGCTTCACTTTAAATGTTACGTTTAAGTAATGTTTTTATTCGTCTTTTTCTTCTTCGGTTTCTCTCCCGTGTGAGTTCTCAT